TGAAGAAGAGAGAAGTCGCAAGAGGAAATTAGATGAGAAAGAGAATGTCAGTGCAAAGAGGTCCCGCACAGAACAGACAGAAGAGCTTGATGATGTTATAGCATTAGATTGAACAGAAATGCTTCTAAACAGAACCCTCTTACTGGGCAGAACCAGGTTATTTGTTATGTTCTTTGTTCCAAAGGGAAAAAATTGACACCAGTGACTTGAAGATGATTCTGCTCCCTTTGAAAGCAAGCATTCATTTTGCTAGAACAATTAGAAACACTGCGGTATGCTGTATTGAAAGTAGGAATATAGTTTTAAAGCCCTTTGAACAAAGTGTGTGCATAACCAGTCATGAGATGAAACAACACGATGCATGTTGCCTTTTTAATGTAAATACCCTTAGGTATCATTTAACAGTTTTAAAATACTGTCGTTTCGTAAAGTTGATACCTGGTTATAAATATTATGCCTTTATTTTTGGTTAGAAGAAGAATTATTTTTAGCCTAGATCTAACCATTTTCATACTCTTAACTGACTGAAACAGATTCAAAGAAGTATCAAGTGCTATGCATTGAAATGTGTTTTTAAATGTTAACTGGCACTATGTATATTAATGTAAAACAATGTTAATTTACTCAAGTTTTTAGCTTGTACTGCCTGGTATGTCTGTGTAAGAAGCCAGTTTTTGTGTATTGTTACAGTTTCAGGTTATTTATATTTGATGTTTTGCAGAACGCAAATACGACTATACTGTACTTATGGACCAAATAAATGGCATCTGCATAAAAAAAAAAAAAAGAATTGTTAACACTGATTACTTGCAGAAATTATAATGTTTGGAAGTACTGAGCTAACTAAAAGGAATACTAAAATGTCACCTATTCTCTTTTATTTATTTTAATGTGGCTACTAGAAAATTTAAACTACTTATATGACTCACATTTGTGGTCCACATCTATTTTTGGACCATGCTGGCTTAGATCAAGAAAAAGAAGCCATGCTGTTCTTGTTATTACAACTTCTAACCATCAGTTATTGAGTACTTATTCTGCTACATGTTTTAAAACATTATTTCTAAGTATCACAATAGCTCTGTGTAATAAGCTGTTTCCTCTCTTTTTATGGATGAGAAGGTTTCAGAGCGTATACTGCCTCAAATCACAAAGCTAGTAGTGTTCAGAGCAGGAATGAATCCACATCTCTCTGATTCCAAAGCCTGGGAGCTCTCTCCTGTACCAGAGGACGTGTGGAATTAGAGGCACATGAGGGGAAAGGGGGCCTTCCAGGAGCAAAAGGGAGCCCAGCCCTTCCCCAGCAGGGTACCTTGCAGGATGTGTAAACCCTCTAGTCTTATAAGTGCACAGACTTTCAGAGAGTTTAGAGACAACTTGGGTAGAGCTTTATCTCCCAGGAACAGAGCCACTCTTGGTTCCATTTTACCTAAGCAGAAGCCTCCATACGTTAACAGAAAAATTAGGAAAAGAATTCACAGGCAACACAGCACACACTTTAAAAGTAAATTTTAAAGTGGAAAATATGCACAAAGACGTTATTTGTCATGTCATCATAAAAAATTCAATAGGGGGCTAATTAAAAAGTGATAATTTTGATACCTAGTTAACAGGGGAGAATGCTTAGATGTTACAGGACATAAAAATTGGAATATGGCATCATGCACACCCTTTATTATAACTCTGTCAAAGGACCTCTATGTACGTGAAAAACTGACTGGAACACTTTCATTGATAATAGCTTCCTATTAGGGCAATTCTCAAATGGTGGAGAGGCAGTTTTATCCCCAGGGAACAGGTGGCAAATTGGGAGGTGTTTTCAGTTTTTCAGTTTTCAAAGCTCAGGGGGTGCTACAGGTCTGCCTCTATCCAAGATGACCCCCCAAAGAACGGCTTCTCCAGCCACAAATGTCAATAGCGCAGAGACTGCAAAATCCCGTGTTAGGATAATGGGATTATAAATTTGTTTCTATTCTACTTACCATATTTTTATAATGTTATGTTGTTTTACAATATAAATGCAAAAAATTACTGAAAAAGAGTAGCACAGAAACGAAACCATAATCGCCAACAGAGATGGTTATGATAAACATGGGTGATGGTTACGGGATGTTGAAGTCGGATCTACTAAAGATATTCCTTTTAAATATTTTAGATTTACTGAAAACTACAACCAAAAAGAATGTATGTAAATTACTTATAGATTAAAATTTGGCCACGTTTGCTCAATCACTACTTGCAGTCGGAATGATTGATTCAACATCTAACAGGAAATTGGCACTCTTTCCTCTGTTGGGATAGCATTTGCTAAACATCAAAATATTTTTCTCACTCCTCTGAGGAAATAGTATTTCATGGGTGTTATTGTTACTAAGATTTGAAAATATATGCTATTTACACTGCATTTTAGGAAGAGATGAGAAGAGAGATTTTTCCTGACAATTTTCTCTGGTATTTGCATCACTGCAGTGAAAAATAGAAGCATAAAACGTACACTTGTGTAACAGCTGTTTAAAAAGTACGCGTTACTTGTGAACTAAACTACGTGTACTAACAGATGATCTGATTAAAGATTTCACAAAAGTAGGGATATACGTCTTGCTTGCAGGCATGAGAGAGTGCATCTGCAAGCTGTTTATATACTCACCTTTTTCCTAGTTCATTTACATCAAAATGGAGATTTTAAAATAAAAAGCTACCACGTTAATACCTATTTAAATACATTTACTGATGCTAGGAAGGTCTAATCATGGTGTATCCAATGTTTATGCCACAGCATTTGACCACAGAAAACTCAAGTGTTTTTACTTAATATGCAGAGCAATGGACAATTCAGTGTTTTCCTGGAGCAATAACCACGGCCTCTGTCATCTCCAGCAAACTGCACATGGTCTGCCCTATGGTAGAAGTAAGTACTACGTGAAAAAATGAACATTTATAAAATCACTCCCTGTGCCAGCCAGGGTTGTGTCAGATCTCCTCACAGAAGTCACCCATACTTCAGTTCCCTTTCTGAAGTGTCCCTCATACAGTCACCACCAAAACTCAGGACCGACCTCTATGCCCTCAGAGCAGGTGCCACGTACCACCACCGTAGTACTTAGTCACTCGCGGGTGACTTATATATCTATGTCTTCCCCTAAAGTGTAAGGGCCATGTCTTGACACTGGTCTCTGATGTTATCGTCAATACAGGCCTAGAGGATAAGGAAACGATGGCTCCGAGAACTTGCCTACCATCCCCCCAGTTAAAGAGCAGTAGACTTAAGACCTGAACCAAGGACATCTCACTCCATACTATCTTCTTGCCATTTTATCAAACTCTAGCGAAAACAAGAGCAGAGGTAGACTCTGCGAAGAGAAATTTATGAAGTAAAACAAAACAAGAAGGTTTAGATGTTCAGGATCTAGAGATCAGATGCAACTAGTGGATTCTATGGCATTGACACTGACACTGAGAAACAGAAAATACAATTCAATAAACTGATACAGACAATTCCACGTACATCCAAAATAGTCTCTAGAAAGTCAATTCTTCCCCACATTTAAGGAAAATCAGCCATTCCCATTTGGGCCATTCTAAGTGAACTTCATGAGGAGACAGATTATGTCTTTTGTCTGTTTCTGTATCTTGAATTCATAACTTGTTGGAAGAATGAATGACTACACAACATTGGTCCCAGTTCTACAGAGTGACTTCAACAGGTAGGCCAGGTGAGATAAATCCTATAATAGGCAGCAAACTGTCAGACGAGGGCATTAGCCTAAACAAAGCAGACAAGAGATCCTGAGGTATATTTACCTTAATTGCAATTTCCCAAGGACAAAAGATGGAAATGTTTATCAGGACCATGCCAGCTCATTGTTATGACATCCTGGACAGGCTCTTCTTAAGGCTGATATGTTAATACTGATACTGCTGGAGACAGTAATTAGTTAAATGGGGTCCTGGAGCTACACCCCCTGGTTTCTAGCTCCGCTCTGCCACTTCCTAGCTGTGTGACTTCAGGTAACTTACCACCCTCATCTGTAAAGGCAGGCCAGTAATGGTGCTCACCTCATCTTTTTGTTAAATTAAATGCAAGCCAAGTAAAGCAGTCAGAACACTACCTAGCACAATATACAGTCTTAATACATATTTGCTCTAATTACTATTGTTGTTGTCATGGTTGTTTCCAAAATGCTGTATTAATATATAATTTATTTTAAAGAATCATGGGCTTCTGTGAGATAACATGACATTCACAAAATTATTGAAAGTAAAAAAAAAAAAATTAAGTTCTCTGAGTTTGGATGAATCTAGTAATTTGGGAAATTTCTATTAATTCAGAATTAATCAGGAAAAGCCAAAAATAGATGGTGGTAGTAATAACAATAGTAATAATAATTCTCCCTCTAAAAACATAATTGTATGATTACATACGTATATGTGTGTTAAAAAAAACTATCTGTAATATACCAATAAATGTTTTAATCATAAAAAATGATTGGCAGCTTGTAGAAGATAGAGCTTGAACATTTCAAATTTGCAAACAAGAATTGCAAATCATTCACAGAAGATTCCAAGTTGACAAGTGAGCTCAGGCAGGGTAAATAACAGTTACAGTTTAGTCTCAATCAGATTTGTTTCTTTTCAAATGCATACTCTGTTTTCAAAACCAGACCCAAGCTGCAGCGCTCAAAGTGAGAAACCTGGAATTCTTATGGGCCTCTGTGCTTGTTTGGTGCACCAGCATTCAGAACCTTGTGCTGAACTGTGCAGGGGAAAGTGGCAGCTGATGAGAAGAGCTACACATTGCCTCCGGTAATATTAAAGAGATCCCCCTCCAAGAATGCCACTGACCCCTCTCATCTTTGCCAGGGCATTTGAACGGACTCTGAGCCAGTTTTCGTCCTAATACTATAGGTTGCAGGATACATCTTTTTATTTATTTTTATTTTATTATCTTCTTTTTGATTTTTTTAGGACACATCTTTTTAAAGCATACTGCAGACGCGATAGGCTGGCTAGGAGCAGTCTGGTCACTAGCACAACGGTTCCCCATCATCAGTTCTACCATCTGTGCTCTGAGTTCTCGCCACACATGGGCTTAAACAGACTTTGAACTGGCCAAGGTCACTGCGCAGCCAGCCTCCACAGATGGGGACAGTGTGAAAAACCTAATTGCAGCTGTGGACAAACACAAACAAGGACACACATGGTTGACAACACTCCTGTCTAGACATGATAGTGGCTCAGTGTCACCGAGTACAAAAAACAAGGACATGGTTTCAAGGTAACTATCTCTCAGGGATAGTTACAATCATTAAGGAAATGCTATTGTCATGAGGTCTAAATTTCTCCACAGTGATTTTTAAGTATCAATAAAAAGCGATAATAGAGAAGCAGTATTTCCTATCATACATACATTTTCTCCAGAAAATTTCTCTATAGAATTTCTCCGGAAAAGAATGCCTTTCTTCAGCAAAAAAGACAGGGCTTGGCGATCAGTACAGCTCCATAACTCACGTGAAGAAAAGTCACAAATGTCACCAGCACTTAGCATAAAAGATACTGAGGTAATGAATGAAATAAAAGCATCCTCTTTTCTCTTATTTATTTCATCCCGTATCGGGATTTCTGTTTTGCACTTGTTTTCTAAAATGAATTACTTCATCAGAAATGTTACTCACGGTGGCTTTGACGACATTTATTGGGTACAAATACCTTCCATTCCATGCTCCCAAGAAACTCAGCAAAATGGAATCACACACTGAAGTTGGTATCCTAGATTTTCCCCCTTGAAATGCATAGCGCCCCAGAGAATTTGGATTGTCAGTGTCTTTTCTAGATACTCAACACGTCTGGTCACTTAGGTTTAATGCCAAACTGGATGTGCGTTACTTTTTGAAAAGTTGTTAAATTTAAAATAAGTTATCAAGCCAGTGCTATTTCAAAAGACTGTTGATAAAAAAGAACCTTTAACTGTAACCATCCTGAACAGACAGTTGATTATAGAAAGACATGTCAGTGCACATATGGCAGCCGGGTAAATTATGCACATCTGGATTACTTTTGGCAAGAAACACAGCTAAGTGTCTAAAGCCAAGTTTAGCAATCTGTCACTAACAATATGTACATTTATTTTAAAATGTCAAGGGCTCAAAGTCATATTTTCTATTTCTTCATAAACTTTCCAGCTCTTCGTAAGACAGCAAACAGGTGACAAAATGCATTGCCCAAACTGCCAAAGGCTGTATAAATAAGGGGTAATTTTGAACTTCTCACCACATATACGAGAAGACTTAAACACTGAAGCAAACTCCCGTGTTGGTGCGATGTACTAAATCTAAAGCTCAAGTAAAAGTGTTAACATTTTACTTCAGAAGATGGCTGAAAAATGCTTTCATATAAAAATATGGCAACCCCTACATGGAATCAACAATGTCACATCCTGGGTAAAGCAAACGGGAATAGTCTGATGGTGTCAGTATAAGTATATATAAGTAGATGAAAGGAAAAGACCAATGACTCTGTGATCCTCCCAGATTAAATTTCCTTTTTCCTACTGCCAATTACTGACATCATTTAAACCCTAAAGAAACATTTTTCCACCTTCTTGTCCCCCTTGATTAAAAGAAAAGCCAAGAGACATGAAGGTGGCTCAAACTAGCAGGAACAAGAAACCTTACAACTGGCTGGCTGAATATCAGCCAGGTGGGAATGTAGCACTCACTGCCTGTAAGCACAGAACTCATCTCGACTCCTGGGCCTCTCACGAGTTACTCTAACATTCCAGCTTCTTAAGAGCTTCAGTAGGAATGCCAAGATACATCCCAGAGACTGGGTGGGGCCTCATCATTCCAGGTGTTGCCTTCCAGTCTCCTTTGCTCTGGCAGCAGAGAAAAACCAGAGTGGAACTATTTTATTCCTAAGGTGCTAATTTGAATATTCACACCATGTCAGCTTCTCTTCCAGCTCACTAATTTGGCAATTTTACTGTTGATTAGGATCTTTACTACATGCCCAATCTCCATGTGAAAAAAAAAAAAATCCTATGTCTGTAAATTGTATAAATATTGGTATTCAGACACCAGGTCGACTGCTCACAATCTGAGCCTCATCTATGGACTGAGGATGATGATGGCACCTACCTCACTGTGTGGTTGTGAAATGTTTGCTAAGATCATTATTATTCCTTTTCTCCTCCTTAACATGACGGACTAGGAATAACACAGTTCATAAACCACAGATTGCCCAAAAAGTGCTGTGAATTCAACAGAAAGTTTAAAAACAACTGAGAAGAAGGGGAGAATAAAAAAGAAGGTAAGGATCAAAATAGGAAATGACATTCTGTCAACTTCTAATTTGTATTTACTTTTGTAAAGTTTGATGCATGAGAGCACTGAAATCTGTATGAGCTTAAATGTCCTTCCCCAACCGGATAGATAAGACAAATTGCTATGGTGTTAAGGCACAAGTTTTCAGAGCTGTTAGTTTCTACCACTCACCAATTCAAGGGGATTTTAATTTAATGGTCTTAGAGGTACAGAGTAAAATATATCTATTTTCTTCTTCATTGTGATCTTCTCTATTTGACTGTATAGCTTTATTTTAAAATTATGCCTGGTACAATAACTCTCAAATAAAAGTTATGTATAAGCAGATAAAAGGTAAAAAGAATTTTAAATTAACCTGAGTCCATTTGCCCATATTCACCATCCAATGTCCCAATGGTAGCAATCCTCACAAAGTCTCCATGTTTTTAGTCTCTTATTCCTTACATCCCTGGGGGTTTTTGTCCTCGTGGGACACAAAAGGTCTAGAAACAGAAATTCAGCGCATCAGAGAAGTGGAACTTTAAGTACCAGAAGATTCCAAGATCTACCAAGCTGAAGAGAAACACTGACAAAAACCCAATGCAGACCTGACAGAATGATTCTTAGCACTGAAAACAGAAGGACAAGAAAAGCCATGGCTTGCCAAACTACCTTTTTGCTTTAAATAATTCAAGTCTTCTGGCCCAGAGAAGCTCTTAATTTAGATGGCAAAAATCAATATTGGCTCATGATCTTTGCCAAGTTAGGGAGAATAAATACAAGGAATTCTTCCAACCCTAGGATTCTGTTACTGTCACCAGCCAAATAAGGAACTTGAAGAAACTGATGTGTTCTTCCCCAAGCAGACATGAAGCTTCTTCATATGGACTTATATGAAGTTTTAGCTAACACTGTTTTTTTAAAATATAGTTGGCATAAAATGTTACATTAGTTTAAGGTGTACAACAAAGTGATCCCACAAATCTATACATTATGCTATGCTCATCAGAAGTATAGCTACCATCTATCACCATATAATGTTATTCTAATGCCACTGACTATATTCCCTATGCTGTATCTTTTATCGCCATGACTTACTCCTTCCATAACTAGAAGCCTGTATCTCCCACTCCCCTCCACCCATTTTTGTCCATCCTCCCCCCACCTCTCCTGGCAACCCTCAGTTTGTCCTCTGTATTTATGGGTCTGTCTCTTTTTATTTTTATAGACTGAATGTATAAGAGAAATCACACTATTTGTCTCTTTGACTTATTTCACTTATCATAATAATCCATCCATGTTCACAAATGGCAAGATCTCATTCTTTTTAATATTCCAGTGTGTGTGTGTGTGTGTACACAGACACCTCATCTTCTTTATCCCTTCATCTATCAATGGACACTTGGGTTGCTTCCATAACTTGGCTATTGTAAATAATACTGCAATAAACAGAGGGGTGCATATGTTTTTTCAAATTTAATACTATTTTTCTGGAGTCTTCTATAATGGTCATTTAAGATCTTATTCACAAGACAGCCAAAATCAAAAACAAAAAACAGAAGTTAAAACAAAACAGTGCTTCAGTTAAATATATAAATATATTTACTTTTAAAGAAACTACAATATATTTTATGTGTGGCTTTAAAGCCATAATTATTTAGCCTTGTATTTAAATTATAAGCTTAAGGCCAGGTAAAAATTTCATTACCATATACAATGTGGTAAAATGAAACCTATGGCCCCAGGTAAGAGTATGAGATCTAGAATCAGACAGCCATGGATTTCTATACTGACTTTGCAGTCTGTCTTTTAATATATTAGCTTTCTGATATCTATCCACAAAAAATAATGTATCTGGATAAGTATATGTAGCACTTACACACAGACCACTTCATGGGTATGAGGATTAAATGAACACCTAACATAGTCCCTGGCAGATACTCAATAGCAAAGTAAGAAATTAGGGTGGTATATAAGGTAATGGGGTAAAAAGTTACTGATGCAGTTCATAAAATATATTAAGATTAAAGGTTTTGTGGTAAGTTCTTTCAAACAATGACCAAAAATACACATAAACTATCTTTGAGAATAAGATAGAATTAAACCATACTGAAAAAAAAAATCTTGTAAAAATCATCTTCCTGAGGCCAAAACGTTACATTTTTAGTTGACATCTTTGTTAAAAGGTAGTAAGTTCTAGTATATCCTCGAGGTATATAACTGCAACACTTAAGAGATGAAACTGAATGAACTAATAAAATTCTTAATGTTAATTGGGTCCACTGTAGGGTGGTCTTTTGTAAATTCTCCAGACTATGAACAAAAACATCCACGGAGGCAGACATCACCTACTACTCTGCTCATGAAGAGGCCAACCATTGGGCCACGTCAGTGCCATGTAATACATGTCCTGGCAAGACTTCCACTCAGCACAATCTCCCTTGCTCTTACGGGTGTTTCAAAGTAATCCCAAAGATAATTTGGTTATGCTTCATCATCAAAAATACAGACTCAATAGGGAGAAATAAACTTCTCTTAATTTATCGTCAATTCCTGGAAGCAATCTCATTCTTGATCTCCTAAAGCACTTTTCTTTTGACTGCTGTGGATTCAGTGACCCCTTACACTTGGCTTTCTATGATGTGTGCATTTGCTTCACCTCTTTGATGATGTTTTAATCACTTTTCTATCTCCCTAGCTGCTCAATAAATATTTTAATGAATCAAAAAAAATTTTACCGTCAATTCATTTCTTTGAGCTCTTCAAATGCTGGACTTCTTTTGAGTGGAATGCAAAGCCCGGTTTGAGAAACTGGGCTGTTTAAGGAGGTCTGCTGCTGGAAGAAAGAATGTGGTAGGAATATCTTCAAATAACACAGAACATGTGGCTGCAAAAAAGCAACTTAAAAATTGCCCAAAGAGAAATTCACCCTGATAGACAGTTCATTAAGCTTTTCAAAGGTCCATCACTGTTGAGAGCCCAGAGTGGTAGCTGTGGACTCCATGGAAGAATTCCTCAGAAAAAACATCCTCAGAAACTGAGTCCATGTAGACTCACCGCAAAGCAACCCACCTTTCAAACAACAAGGCATAAAGTACTAAAAAGGTCTGAAGGAATTTAGTGTCCTATGTTAGACATTCTGTGGGGAAAACGCACTGTTCCAAGGGAAAAAATGTTCAAACCTTTACACTAAGTGTTTCTGTGGGGTTCTCATTACTTAATTAACATGCATAAATAAAGACTTGGGTCTATAAAAAACAACTGATAAAACCATTAGACTTAATAGTGTGTAAGTACCTTCAGACTTATCCAGCATTCTGTTTTAAATTGTCAACCTCGATCAATGTAAGCTGTCTTCTGTTACTCGACAAAGTTTTGAGATTTTTACCCCACGGCAAGGGGGCGGGGGCAGACTGTGTAGAGGGGGCCTATCATGAACTCAGATTTTTAACTACATTTCAAAGAATACTTTACAATGCATTTGTGAACATTTTGGTGGATTCTGGAATCTGAGAAACCATTCCTTTCAAAAGATGTAATTAATAAAGCATTATGGGAAAAACACATGACTTTCTTGAATTATGTGTCTTTCTTGAATTATGTTAATTTGATTACAATGAATCTAAATTCTAAACTAATTATTTCTTTCAAACAATAGAATTTACCATATTTAAAAGGCCTGCCCACATAATATTCTTTTGAATTTAATTTTATTTGTCCATTATTTATATGCCCTCTTAAGGTTAATATTATGAGGGGAGAAGAAAAAAAGCAAACACAGTGAGTTATTCCTCATGCCCAAATTGTTGATTTTTTTTCTCTTGATGCTGAACCCAATTTGCTCCTAAGCATGAATGTGTCACATTCAACTCAAAATCCTCAAAACAGCTTTTGCTTAGGATATATACAGTGCTCACTCTATAGGCTGATTTGAGTAACAGTAACATTTACAAAACAGGAGGAACCAGGCAGAAGTGGCTGCACCCCCTCTATGTAACTCACTGCCAACGCAGTAAGAAAAACTTGAACATACACAGATCCTTCAAATCACCAAACGACATATGCTAAGAGCTCAATAACTCTCCTTCAGGAATGAGTTTTATTTTAAACTTCTACTTAAACTTCTATTTAGGTATACAGCTGACCCTTGAACAATACAGATTTGAAGTGTATAGGTCCATTTGTACATGGATTATTTTTGATAAAAACACTGAAGTACTGTAAATGTATTTCCTCGTATGATTTTCTTAATAACATTTTCTTTTCCCTAGCTTACTTTATTGTAAGAAGCAGTATATAAAAATATGTGCATTAATCAAATGTTGATGTTATTGGGAAGGCTTCTAGTCAACAGTAAGCTATTAAGTGTTTGGGGGAATCAAAAGTTATAAGCAGATTCTCAACAACATGGGAGTGGGGGCTTCTAACCCCTGGGTAGTTCAAGGGTCAACTGTCCAGAAGAAAGCATTACTAGTACCCCATAAATTAGTTTTAAGACCACTGGCCCATTGAAATATTCAATCCCTCCCTTCCTCACATGAGTAGGTAAAACAAGCTTCCTCCAAAATTACTGATCTCCCTAAGACTGGTAAAACGACTGTACTCACTAAAATAAGGCTGGGTGCACATTTCCTAAACAATTAGGATGAGCATCATTTTCAACTACCAAAAATTCTTTGCTAAATGTAAAATATTAAATCATAAGAAGAATGATTATATGTAAGCTCACTATCAGAGTGAACCCTGATATCAGCATGAAAATCAGCTTAACAATTTTAAACTGTTATTGTAATTAAGTGCTACTGTAAATTAAACTGACAAAGGAACAAGTGATTTTTAAATGAATTGCTTTCAATACCTTATTTAATATAAAAGATCAGTAGTTTATGGATTTCATTAAAATATCAAACTTAGTGCTTTTAATAAAGTAAATGAAAAGATGAACAGCAAGCGATATTTCAAAAATTCACAATTCTACATTATAATTTATATAAACATGTAAAATGATCAGGATAAAGTCAGATGCTAGAATATTCATGTACAAATTAATGCCTATATTATAGTATTATTTTTAGTTCCTGGAAATAAGTTGGCTTTTTGTCATCTCATCACTTCGCTATGATTTCACTCGATAATTATGCATTGAAGTTTGTTACTCAAAGCATCCATTGTTGAACAGAACCAAAACCATCCAACCCAATAACCACAGAATAAAGAACTGAAAGAAAATCAAATATAACCATGGATCTTAAAAGGAAACCAAGCAACAAGCAAATAGGTGCCAACATTAAGTGCTAATGCAAAATTCTACTGCCTGACAAGTGTTCTTTTCACTTGCAAACCTACAAAATAACACTTTCTGAAACTCATTTTGAATATCCCCTTCCTTTTATTTTTAAATGTAGGAAAATCATAAAATGTTAATGAGGGAGGAAAAAAAATTTAAATCTCCTCTTCTAGATTTCTAAATGAATTAGAACAACTGTGGGAAACTGGGCAAAGGGTATAGGCAGTGTTGTAAACTGTTAAAACACCAAAAATTCTAAGTGAAATCCATTTTAAGACATTGATTTATTTAAACCTTTGAGAAGCAACCTTCCTAGGAGCAACAAACCGGGCCTTGAATCAGGTACACTGGAATCACAACGTACTTCCCAGAAGGTATGCTCGTTTTCAATAAAATACAAGATACAGAAATTCTATAGTTGGGATAGGTTTAGGCACTCTTTACAACAGTACTATTCCTGAAGATTAAACATTTTTAAATATTTCGGAAAAGCAAGGTGGAAGGTTGAGAGGACCAGTGAAGGGAACAAAAGCCATGGGTACCAAACACATAATTCATTCAGGGCTGCTGGTTACAAGGGGCAGTCTACACGTGAGGTGCTTAAGTTAAGCTTTTCATTTTTATGCGTAATTCTTCAAAGATGCCTTTGGGGGGCGGGTGGATAATTTCAGCCTACCAGTGATTTTTTTTAAGTAGGCATTTCGATATGGCTATAAAATTATTTTTGCTTGAATCATGTCCTCACCACCCCCAAGAAAAAAACTAGAGGCCTGAAAGCTTTGTATTTTTTCCCCTTAACTTCACTTGAGATAGTCACAAAAACATGTTAAAACCAAGTATTGAAATATTAATTTCAAATAAATATTCATGTTCAAATAGTTCAAAATTCATAAAATATAAATCTCAAACGGAGTAAAAAAAAAAAAAAAATCCTGAGACGTTTATCCACTGGAGCAAATCAGCTGAGCAATGGCGAAGCACCAGGTCCCTTACATGGCACACTGGAACAGCAAAGATGGAACTCTCTTTTCACTTATTGGAAGAAGATGGTGATGAGAAGAAGCTTTTGAAATTTCAAGTTTATAAGCTGCTCTAGTCGGCTTGGGCTGCCATCACAAATTACCACAGACTAGATGGCTTAAACACAAATTTATTTCTCAGAGTTCTGGGGGAGGAAAAGTCCAAAATCAGGGTGGCACCATGCTCAGTTTCTGGTGAAGGCTGTCTTCCTGGCTTGCAGATGGCTACCTGCTTGCTGTGTCACACAGGGCTGTGGGGAGGGAGGGGGGGAGGGAGATGATCGCTCTTCCTCTTCTTAAAAGGTCACCAATTCTACTGGATTAGCACCCCACCCTTAGCCCCCCTTGCTTAGTCTTAATTACCTCATACAATCCCCATCGCCAAATACAGTCACATTAGGCATGAGGGCTTCAACATAGGAATTTTGAGGGAACACAATTCAGTCCCTAGCTTAAGTAAAAAAAATACAGACCTGATGTCATTTATGAAAAGGTACGTATCATATAAAGTTTTGTGTTTAGTTAGTGGCTCTTTTGTGATTTCCACTTAGTCATGATTTCAAGTTTTTAAACAAAAAAGGTGGTTAAAAGTATTAAGTCTTATTTGTTTGAAATAACTACTTCTATGGGTGTCCCATTAATGAGCCAGGGAGCAATTAGTTTGCATCACAAATAATCAACTTGAGAAAGAACAAACCAAAATAGTATCTGACAATCATTCTACGTGATGCATTTATGGTTCTGGAGAAGGAAGACATGATCCCCTCAACGGGTCTCAATTTTCCAGGACTTCTTAGTGTGAGCATCTCTGCTCCTGTGTGTGATTCTAATATTGAAAGCTGAGTGTTTCTTATTCAACCCGACCCCTGAATGCAAATCAACCACTGCATCTTGTGTACAATGGAAGAAACAGGGAAATGCTTCCATGTTGGATATAAAACCACTGTTACGAAAATCTGAAAAGATTTTCAGAGGAAATTTTGACACTTGAGGATTTTCTTTCAGGTGCACTTTAAAATTTGACCCCCATGAGGAGAGGAACAATATTCACTATATTGCGAAGCTACATTCTTTTGAAAAGACAGGTATGTCTACTCATTTGAAAGGAAAAAAAAAAATCCTAAAAAGGGATAAAAATTATATTATGAAGCATCTCTTCTAATTGCAACTGCTGTTCCAGGTTGAGTATACAGGCTTCCACTGATACACTAAAGAAACACCGTCTACTCCTCTCCAAGCCCCCACGGTACTCCTCCTGTCAGCCCTCTGCTTCTGTTGGTCTCTGAACGCATGTGGCTTTTATGCATTTAATGGTTTGAGAAGCTTCCTTCTTAGGCCCAATATGTAGAGGGGGAAAAAAATGTCATGTGCAAATACCATCTTTCAAATCTATGCAAATCTAGTCAAACCCTTTCATTAAATAGTATCTTAAGAAAATAGGAGTTGCTGAACAATGGGGCATTTAAAAGACCTGGATTCCAAGTAATCTTACCATTTCATTTCTGACTCTGGATGAGCGGTCACCTT